CAGGTGCTACCGGCGGACGAGGCGGTGGAGACGATGCTGGCACACATGACGGACCCCTCCAATGCCTCCCGCCTGCCCCTGAGCCCTGGTGAGCCCCCCTGACCCTCTGTGCCCACCCCCCCTGACCCACAGCACCCGGGTGGGGGTCTCATTCTGCCCCCCCCGACCCTGCAGGAGCCTCCGTGGTGCTGGTGGTGAACAACTTGGGTGGCTTGTCCTGCCTGGAGCTGGGCATCGTGGCCGGCGCGGCCGTACGCCGCTTGGGTGAGTGGAAAGGAGGGGACCTTGGGACACTAATCACTGGTCCTTCTGCTTCTGAGAACCTGTGACCCCCCCAAAATCATTCACGGACCCCCCTTCCCCACCCCGTGCCCACAGAAAGCCGAGGTGTCCGCATTGCCCGGGCCTTGGTGGGCTCCTTCATGACGGCGCTGGAGATGGCCGGGGTCTCCCTCACCCTCATGCTGGTGGACGAGGAGCTGGTGGGGCTGATTGGTGAGTGGGGTTGGGGGGTGAGGACAGAGTTTTGGGGAAGGAGGGGGGAGGGAAGGTGTCCCCGAGGTGCTGGGTGAGGATCCAGCAGGGTGGAAACTCACCTCTTTCCCCTCCTCCTGCTCCAGACGCCGACACCACGGCCATGGCTTGGCCCAACGTGGCCCCGGCACCCGCCACCAGCCAGAGAGAGGAGGTGCCAGCGCCAAAGGAGGGACAAGGGACCACGCAGCATGAGACCAGCACGGGTACGGGCAGCCCCCGGGGTGGGGGTTGAGTTGTCACCTCCCCCTGCCTCAGTTTCCCCGGCAGGGGTGACCTGTCCTCCCCGCAGGGCCTGGCGCGGCGCGGGCGCGGAAGGTGCTGGAAGGGGTGTGCAGCACCCTCCTGGCCATGGAGGAGCAGCTCAACGAGCTGGACCGTGCAGCAGGGGATGGGGACTGCGGCCACACGCACGCCCGGGCTGCCCGAGGTGGGTGCTGTCACCTTGGGGGGGTCACAAGTTGAGGGGGGACACTTGTGGGGACAGGGTGCCCCAGCCATCACCTCCCAGGAGTGCGGACTCCTCTGGGACATCCCTTCTTCAGGAGGGGACCCTGACCTGCTCCCTCCATCTGTAGAGCAGGATCTGCCCCCCATCTGCCCCTCCCTGGGGTACAAGGTCCCCCCCATCTGTTCCTTTTTTTGGGGGGACACCCCCATCTGTCCCCCCCCAAACCCTGGGAGCCACAGCCCTGAAGTGTCTCTGCCCCAAAGCACGGGAGGGGGGGACACAGTCCCTTTTGGTCCCCATGGATGGGGATCCCTGGGGGCACTTAGGGGTCCCCCAGGGGAGATGGGGGTCTCCAGGGGTCAGTGAGGGGGGGCCCCCCCAGCCTGTTCTTGTCCCCACAGCCATCCAGGAGTGGGTGCGTGCCCGGCCCCCCCCGGCAGCCCCGGCCCAGCTCCTCTCCACCCTGGCTGACCTTCTTCTGGAGAAGATGGGGGGCTCCTCCGGCGTGGTGAGTGTGGGGTGAGAGGAGGGGGGTGGCCGTGGGTCTGGCTCATCACCCCGGGGGGGGGAAACATGGCCATGCCACTACCAGGGACAGTGACAGTGTCCCCACAGCTCTACGGGCTCTTCCTGACGGCGGCCGCCCGGCCCCTGCTCGATGGCAACGACCTCCCAAAATGGGCTGATGCCATGGACGCCGGCATCGAAGCCATGCAGAGGTGAGTTGCCACGGGCTACAAGACCCCCCCGACCCCCCAAAATCCCTCCTGTGAGACCCTCAAACCCCCTGCACCCCACGCAGGTACGGGGGAGCTGCGCCGGGGGACAGGACGATGGTGAGTGCTGGCAACTTGGGGGGCGTGGGGCAAAGCCACCTCACTCCCCACAAGCCACAGGGGGTGGGGGCTACCAGCCTGGGCACGGCACTGGTAGCCAGCCCCTTTCCCCATTTCTCCCAGTTGGACTCACTCTGTGCTGCAGCACAGGCTCTGCAAGCCCTACGGAGCCCTGGTGCCAACCTGCTGTCGGTGCTGGCCACCGCCGTGCAGGTAAGGTGGGCAAGGGGAGCCCGGAGTGGGCAACCTCAAGCTGGGGTGGCAGGGGATGGGGTGGGGATTGCCACAACGGGCTGGTTGGTGACACACCAACTGGCCTGGTGACATGCCAGGTGGCCCAGTGACACGCTGACTGGCCTGGTGACATGCCAGGTAGCCTGGTGACACACCAGGTGGCCCAGTGACACCCCAGGTAGCCCAGTGTACCCTGTTTTTTCCCCTGGCAGAGCGCGGAGGCCGCGGCAGAAGCCACCAGGCACATGGTGGCCGGGGCGGGCAGAGCCAGTTACATCAGCTCTGCCCAGCTCCTGCAGCCCGACCCCGGGGCGGTGGCGGTGGCAGCCGTGCTACGGGCCGTGCTGGGGGGGCTGCAGAGCTGATGGTTCCAGTGGTGATGGCAGGGTGGGGGGGGGAAGCTCGGCAGCACCCCCCACGTACCCCCAATAAACCTTTTGTGGACCCCCCAAGGTGGCCCAGAGCATCCGTCGCCATCAGAGGGAGGGGATGGTGGGGACTGGGGATGGTGGGGTGCGTCCAGCTCCTCCAGGATGTGTCCCCGTGCCAAGGGGGACAGGAGCAGAGCTCAGAGAATGGGTTGGGTGGGAAGGGGCCTTCAAGATGACCCAGTTCCATGATGGGGGGGACACCTCCCACCACACCAGGTTGCTCCAAGCCCCCTCCAACCTGCCCTTGAACCCCTCCAGGGATGGGGCAGCCACAGCTTCTCTGGGCAACCTGGGCCAGGCTCTCACCACCCTCACACCAAACAAGTTCTTCCCCACATCTCAGCTCCATCTCCCCTCTTGCAGGGTCAAACCCTTCCCCTCCTCCTAGGGCTCCCCTCCCTCATCCAGAGTCCCTCCCCATCTCTCCTGGAGCCCCTTGAGGGACTGGAAGGGGCTCTAAGGCCTCCCTGGAGCCTTCACTTCTCCAGGCTGAACCCCCCAACTCTCTCAGCCTGTCCTCCCAGCAGAGGGGCTCCAGTCCTCCCAGCATCTCCAGGCCTCCTCTGACCCTGCTCCAGCAGCTCCATGTCCTTCCTGTGCTGAGGACCCAAGATACCACCAGGAAGCCTGTTTTCCTAACACTGGGCCTTCCACAGATGCTATCTGGGACCTGCAGAGCTCCAAACCCCCTGCATCTCCCCACCCAAGCTCTGCAGATGTTTTGCTCCGCATTGCGGGTGCTGCCTGGCCCCTCCAACCTGCCCTTGAACCCTTCCAGGGATGGGGCAGCCACAGCTTCTTGGGGCAACCTGTTCCAGGGTCTCACCACCCTCCCAGCAAAGAAGTTCTTCCCCACATCTCATCTCCATCTCCCCTCTTTCCGTTTGAAACCCATCCAGCTGGGTCCTGTGCTCCAGCGCGAGCGTGACTGGGCTGAGGAGGGAGGAAGGAAGCTTCTGGGCCGGCCACCAGCCCTCCCCATCAGCTGCTGGGAGGGGAAACCACAGGGCTCACATGGCCCCAAGCACGGGGCCTGGAGGAGGTTTGGGGAAGGGGAGAAAGAAGAAGAACTGGGGGCTGGAGAAGAGCCCTGTCCCAAAGCACAGGGTGACCCCCAGCTGGGGTGAGCAGGAGGACTCGCTGGCGTGAGCCCAGGTTGCCAGGGGACAAGGACAAGCCACGTCCTCAGAGGGGACAAGGTCCTCAGGCAGCATGGCCGGGTTTGGCCAGCACCAGGATCTGCTCCCCGGGCACCCACCTCTCCTTCCCCAGCTCCTGGTCTCCCCTTTGTCCCCAAGGAGGTGGCTGCAGGAGCACTGCAGAAGCCAGCGGTTTATTACGTGTCCACCAGGGCCCCCGGGAGGCCACTGGGCTGGTCCCCCCACCCACGGGGTGAAGGGAGAGGCACAGACAACCCAACGAGGGGCAAGGCACAGGGCGAGGGTCCCCTCTGTCACCGCTGCCAGCCACAGGGGTCCTCCACCACTGGCTTCTGACCCAACCAGCCTCCCACAGCTCCAGCTGCTGCCTTGAGCGATGGCACCGCACGCTCCGGGGAGGGTTTGAGGGCATCCAGTTTGGCACGGAGTGAGGGACAAGGGGCCAGCTGGACCTGGCAGGAACTGGCAAGCAGAGGATGGAGGCAGGAACATCACGGCAGCGGCTGCTTTCATCCTCCAGCAGGCAGAAGGCCAGGGAAGAGGCAAAGAGACGTCCTCACCGCAGCGTTTCTCCGCTGTTCCTCTCGCTTGGAGCGCGGGGTGCAGGCAGCCGGTGTCCCCAGTGAGGTGACAGGCCGAGGGCAGAGCAGGCAGGGGACCCACGGGGACAGAGAGCTTGGGGCTGGCAGTCCCAGGAGGGCAGGGAGGACCTCGGCAGGCGTCAGCGCTCGGCGGTGAGCAGGGGCTGTGGGGAGAGCGGGGCTGAGCCCGGTGCCTGCACCCCCCCGGCCCTCCCCACCCCATAGACAGGGCTGTGGTGCCAGGCAGATCCCCCATTTGGGGTCCCCAAAGCCACCCCCTACACCAGAGGGACGGGATGTCATCCAAAAGGACCTGGACAGGCTGGAGAGGTGGGCCCAGGTGAACCTCATGAGGTTCAACAAGAGGAAATGCAAGGTTCTGCACCTGGGCAGGAACAATCCTCACCATCAGTACAGGCTGGGGGGTGAGGGATTGGAAAGCAGCCCTGAGGAAAGGGACTTGGGGGTGCTGGTGGAGGAGAAGCTGGCCATGAGCAGGCAGTGGGCACTTGCAGCCCAGAAGGCCAATCCCATCCTGGGCTGCATCAAAAGCTGCGTTGCCAGCAGGTCCAGAGAGGGGATTCTGCCCCTTTACTCTGCTCTGGTGAGACCTCACCTGGAGTATTGTGTGCAGGGCTGGAGCCCTCAATAGAAGAAGGACATGGACCTGATGGAGAGGGTCCAGAGGAGGGCCACAAGGATGATCAGGGGGATGGAGCACCTCTGCTCCGAGGACAGGCTGAGGGAGCTGGGGTTGTTCAGCCTGGAGAAGAGGAGGCTCCGGGGAGACCTAATAGCAGCCTTCCAGTACCTGAAGGGAGCCTACAGGAAGGCTGGGGAGAGCCTGTTTAGAAAGGCCTGCAGTGACAGGACGAGGGGCAATGGCTTCAAGCTGGAGGGGAACAGCTTTAGACTGGAGATGAGGAGAGGGTTCTTCACTGGGAGGGTGGTGGAGCACTGGAACAGGTTGCCCAGGGAGGTGGTTGAGGCCCCATCCCTGGAGATATTCAAGGAGAGGCTCGACGAGGCCCTGGGCAACCTGGTCTAGTTGGGGGTGTCCCTGCTGACTGCGGGGGGGTGGGACTAGATGGCCTTTGGAGGTCCCTTCCAGCCTGGGCAATTCTATGATTCTATGACCCAGAGTGTCCCCACAGAGGAGCTGGTACCTGGCGAGAGTCCGGGGAGTCGGCGTCGGGGCGCTTCCAGCTCGGCCTGGCCAGGGCCCCCAGCACCAGCACCCCAAAAAGCAGGATGAGGAGCCCCAGCGTGTTGGCGAAGACGGCCTCGGGGGGCAGGAGCTTGTACTCCGTCGTCCCGTTCTTCCTTGGGGGGAGAAGAAGGGACAAGAGCTTTCCTGGATGTCCCCAGCCCTTCCCCTAAGGCCCCACAACCCGCCCCGCAGCGGGGAGTCGTGCAGATTCACCACACACCTGAGGGGAGAAATCGCTCACTTCCCCTCTCCGCCCCGCGCTCGGTTTCACTCGAAGCCACTTCTGGCTCCAGGAGGCAACAAACAGCCCAATTCCCTCCCACCCCCCTC